CACACACACACACACACACACACTCACACACACACACACGCACTCTCTCTCCCTCTCTCTCACACTCACACACACACACACACACACACACACACTCACTCTCCCTCTCCCTCTCTCTCACACACACACACACTCACTCACTCTCTCTTTCTCACATACACACACACACACACACACACACACACTTTCTCATGCCGGTTGATGAACTAGTTTAGAGTCTTGAGATTCTTTATATAGTGGTTTTCACAGCAGTGGATCAGCTGAAGGTGGATCTGCCCGGACAGGTCTGGAATGTCTTTGGGGTTTTCCTGTGTAAAGCGTGAAGCACTGCTGGGATCAGTCAGAATTCACTGTGATGTTTGTGAATGTGTGCAGTGACAGACGCCTGAACTTACACTTGATTTTGCACATTTACTTTAAAACGACTCCATCAGTCGTTCAGGCGTCACAGCAAGAGCTGCAGCGATTCTGTAGAACCAAACCAAAAACTAAATCAGCCAAATGTGTGAGAGTCAGCATGTGTTTATTACAGTGTTTATTACACACATTTACATTTATTCATCAGCAGATGCTATCTTCAAACAATAGTGATGGCTCATAAATGTAGCAACATGGGGAACAGTTCAACAATACGTTACTAAACCCTTCCTAAACCTGTTTCACTCTCCCCCGTGTTACTGGCTTAGTCTGACTCTGAGCTTGTTGCTGCTGCTGCTTCTGAGCGGTGTGTGTCGCTGCTGCTGCTTCTGGGCGGTGAGTGTGTGTCGCTGCTGCTGCTTCTGGGCGGTGAGTGTGTGTCGCTGCTGCTGCTTCTGGGCGGTGAGTGTGTGTCGCTGCTGCTGCTTCTGAGGTGTGTGTGTGTCGCTGCTGCTGCTTCTGAGCGGTGTGTGTGTCGCTGCTGCTGCTTCTGGGCGGTGTGTGTGTGTGTGTGTGTCACTGTTGCTGCTTCTGAGTGGTGTGTGTGTGCCGCTGCTGCTGCTTCTGGGCGGTGTGTGTGTTGCTGCTTTGCTGCTGCTGCTTCTGAGCGGTGTGTGTGTGTCGCTGCTGCTGCTTCTGAGCGGTGTGTGTGTGTGCCGCTGCTGCTGCTTCTGGGCGGTGTGTGTGTGTGTGTGTTGCTGCTGCTGCTTCTGAGCGGTGTGTGTGTGTCGCTGCTGCTGCTTCTGAGCGGTGTGTGTGTCGCTGCTGCTGCTTCTGAGCGGTGTGTGGCGCCCTCTGGCGGAGGATGCTGGGAGTCACACACTCTACCTGGACATCTGTGTTGCGAACAGTAGCTATTGTGTTACTGGCAATGTGAAAAAAAACATAGTAAAAATAAAATAAATACATTAGCCCCTTAAGCTCTGGGGTTATTTTGGGGGTTTCAGGATCAGTTTGCTCCAGCTATCTGCAACTTATAGTCTAAGATTCCACTAGGTGCCAAAATGTTCCCGAAAAAAGATTTTTCCCACAACAGCTTCTAAACAGGAGCAGCAGCGTTTATTGCATTTCCAATATCTGCAAATGATTTCAAAGTCAAATAATATTATTACATTTAGATTTATTATTTTAGCAGATGCTTTTATCCAAAGCCTTATCATGTGAAACAACATCATTAGCTATTTGTAATAAACCTCATGAGATATAGTACATCTGTAAAATTATAAACTAGATAACTACATTTTTAGAGGAGAAAAGAACAGTGCGTGAGCACTAAAAATGCGTTTGCAGTTACTTAGGTGAATATCAAGAAATCTTGATGCAGTGTATTTACAAGTGTATACGATTTCATTGTCTTTTACTGGAAAACAGTGATTTAAATGTTTATTTGTGTGTGATTATTAACATCCAAATAACATCGTGACTTTTAAAAATGATATAGATATTAAATACTTATGAAACAATTTCCATTGAGTAACAATAAAACGCTTCTGTAGTGTCGTCATCACGTCTCGGCTGCTATTGGCCGGCGTAGGTCACGTGATCAAAACAGTGTCATGGCGGCGTCCACGGCGGTCCGGGCGGCTGTGAGCTTCACTCAGCGGTTCGTCCGAGTTTCTCCGGACTGCAGCGTTTGTCCGCTCTACCGACTGAACGTGTGTACGGGAGCCGCGGTCGACGGGTTTTCAGCTCCTAACAGACGCCTGCGGACCAGCATCGGTGCGTCCTTCACAAACACACACACACATTCACACACACACTCTCTCTCTCTCTCTCTCTCTCTCTGACACACACACACACACACATTCACACACAC